CAGCCTTCCAAAATCAGCCAGACCACCCTTCTCACTCCAAAAAGAAAACCCCAGCACTGAATCCTTGGAGAGCACTTGAAGGAGGAGCTGCGTAGAGACGAGACAAATGCTTGGTTCTTTTCACATCCTTGTGTCAGCTTTCATTCTCTCTGCCACTCTCATCTCCTCTTTGCCGAAAATCACATTAATATATATGAATTATAGATGCTGTTATTATTATTCAGACTTTGATATTCTGAGCCAAAACCCATGCTCTCTTGGATGTATCACTTATTTGAAGGGATTAATTTAAACACATCCCAAGTTTCCTAAAAACTTTTAACCTCTCAAGAGCTCAGATTGATTGGAACACTAAGCTGGAAGCAGGGTTCTGAAAGCCAAAAATGTTGCAGGGTCACCTGACATCATAATCTATGTCTGTTCAATCCTCAATATTTGCAGCTGGGGATGTAGCTACAGTCTAATATTTGGTAGGAAAGCAGCCTATTCATTCCATCCATGGCTGTTGCTGGGAATTTAAGAGTTAAGAAACCCCATGAGTGTGAACAGGATGTTTTAAGTCTAAAAACTAAAAGTTCAAATTAGTCTTCATGGCTTGCCAGCCTAGTTCACCTTGGACAGTTACAGGTAAATCCAAGACTGGTGTTACTAAGAAAGGATCTTGGCTACATGCTAGGATCTACTGATTTTATATATGAGATCGGATGAACTAGTATAATTCAGTACCAAACCACGTGAGAAGCAGAAACTCCTGGCTGCAGCAGAGGAAACAGAAGTGAGCGGAGGCCATTACGAGACATTTCTGTCTCAGTTTTGTTAGTGTAGTAAAACTAAGCAAATCCTTTTAAACAATAATCATGATTCCTGCAAATTTACATTAACTGGATTCTTTCATTCTCAGATGAACCTGTGGTTTCTTTAATCCAAGAGGTATGTGCAAATTATCAAAAAGAACTATCGCCTTAGCCTTGGAATGATTATTTAGTGATCACCAGGTGTTGAAAGAGGCTTCTTTCCTAGGGTTCAATCCAACTCTCATTGAAGTCCACTGACCTGAGTGGGAGATGAATTGGCCCTTCTAGGGACTACACTTAAGCCCTTCTAGGGCCTATGCCATTTAAGCCCCAACGTAGGTCCTTGGTTGGAACTTCAGTGGTACATAGAGCTTCACCCAGCTCTCTGCACTGGGCTGAATTTCATCTCCAATGCATAACAACCCCTTACAGACTGTGAACCAAATTACAGTAGTTGCAAATATATTATGTACGTATATTCAGTTTATTCAAGTCAATGCAATAAAAATTATTTTAACGTGTGATTTGATAATAGGTATTTCCACTGATCAGGAATAAGTAAAATTTACAAAAGAAAGTCCTATCTACAAAGATAGTTAAAGGTCAAAATCAATAAAAAGTCAGTGCCCTTTGTAACCCAAACACTAATATCTTTCAATGTGGAAGTAGAGCTTAATTGTTGAAATATATTTCACAGATGTACAGTTTGGCCAAAGGCCTGCATTGCACTGAATGGATGCCCAAAGCTAGGCAGATGGCAAGCAGAATCTAAATGAATACACTTAAGGCCAGATTTTTTTAAAGGTATTTAGGTGCCTAAAGAAGAAGTTAGGTGACTAGTAGGACTTTCAGAAGCACCTATTCGCATCTTTAAGCACTTAAATGCCTTTCAAAATCTGACCCTTACACCTAAAGGAAGAACCAAAACAACAAAAATAGAAAACATCTGTGAACAGACGACAGAGCTTCCTCTGTACCCATATAGTGCGGGCATAAACCTGGCAAAGTAACATGAGATGGAAGTGGAGTCTGTAGCTCCATCCCAAAGGGGAAGAGCCACTGGAAAACAAGCATAATCTACCAGTCTAAATATAGATGCAGATGCTGCAAGAACAATTGCTCAGGGGAAAACAAAAATGTGAACTGTAGGTAAAAAGCTTTTTGCACGCATGAATAGAATTACACACCTCTACTGCCATGGCGAAGCAAACACAGGGAGAGAAACCACAGAGCAGAAAGTCACAGTCAGGAGGGCACTGGAGCTCAGGGCACAACTCCAGAAAAGAACACACTGAAACAAATCCATCCTCAACCTGAACCAATTAAAATTTCAGACTGAACTAGAGATGGGGCCAAAAAGAACAGCCCCAATTGCACAGACATTAAGGAAGTTTGCAGTTATCTTGATACCAAGCAGAACACAATCCCAGATCCAAGCACCACTTTGTACTGGGAAATATTTAACCCAGTTTTGGATCTGAATTTAGTGCTCAGGCCTCTCTGTAATTTGACTCTGTAAAACCCAATCCTGAGAGGTGGTGAGCACTTTCAATTGCCACCAATTTCATCGGGAGAGGTGGGAACTCGGAAGTTTACCCACAGAAAGAAGGAAAAACCCCAATGAGCTGGGCTGCATATGGACAACAAGAGGAACATGAGAATAAAGGCACCACTTAGAGTTGAATGCCATCTATGACTGACACCTACTGGATCAGACTGTCAAAATACTCCATCACTCTTGCAATTGGGGATAACAGCATCAGCTCCTCAGAAGTGAACTTCACCCCCTACATACAAGAAAATGGACAGAAACAGGTGTTCTAGTGGTCTGACAGCTAGCGAAGACTAAAGGAAATCAATTAAATATCCTCAAAAGATATCCCTCAGCAGCCTCAAAGCCAAAGATAAAATGTTGATTGTTCATATATTATAAGACCAGAAGGAACAATTACATCACCTAGTCTGACCTCCTGTATAACACAGGCCATAGAACTTCACCCAGTTACTCTTGTATTGAGCTAAAACATGTCTTCCGGAAAGGCATCCAAGTCTTGATTTGAAGGCAGCAAGAGACAAAGAATTCACCCTTCCCTTGCTAGTTTGTTGCACTGGTTAATCACCCTCAATGTTAAAGATGGCACAAATTTTTCTAATTTGAGTTTGTCTGGTTTTAACTTCCAGACATTAGTTCTTGTTATGCCTTCCTCCGCAAGATTAAAGAGCCCTTTAGTGCACAAAGCTATTGAATCAAATTTCTGTACACATATCAATGAATTAATTTTAATATGTTATGTAGAGATAGTTGAAATTTGTCATTTGAAACATTTTTGTCAGTGAAAAATGGCTTTTTTGTCAAAGCAGCAATTTTCATAGGAAATGTTCAATTTTGACCAACTTTCTTTGGGGGCGGGGGAGGATTTTGTTTTTTTAAGGAAAACATGAACTTTTGTTGGAAAGTTTCAACAGAATTTGAAATTCTTCAAGGGAATAAAAACGACATTTCCGGACCAGTTCTAATTTGATGTGCCACAAGAATTCAATTAAAGTGCACACATTAGGTGGCACATATCTGCCCTTCACAGCTCAAGCCGTGGTCTCAATATAGGCCGGAGTAGCACTTTTCACCATTGGCAACAGTCAACTAGGTAAGAACTGCCAGAATGGAGCAGTGCTCTGTCAACTTGCCTTCCCACCTCCAGTACTGCCCCTTCTGGGCCTGGCTTCCCCTCTCTAGGACAAGGAGGAGAGGGTGATGTAGGAGCCAGCTACAATGCTAGCTGGCAGCTCCGCACCCCCAGAAGCATTCTTAGATATTGCCAATAGGTGACCATTTGTGCCGTCTGATGAATGCAAATGGGTTGGATTGGAATTCAGGGCAGAGAGAGAGCGAGAATATGGCCCATTTATTTATTTACACCTGTGTCTGAGGAGACAGAAGGAAGTCCCTGAGTGAGACAGGAAGAGATGTGTATTTGTAAAGAAAGGCAGGGAAAGCTTTTCTGACAGTTCTTAAATAAATAATTATCCAGCACTTTGAAATCAGAGGTCATATGCAAAATGAGTGCAATCTGGGGACAGGTGGTGATGCCAGACAAAGCTAGTTACAAGCTAAAACCATGGCAGTTCTCTAGGAATTTCAGCATCTGCACCAAAACCCATCAAACCTGCAAAGTGATAATGACTTTCATATATTCTATGCTCTCTGCAACAGCTTTTTATTATACAAGTAGCTTACTGCAAGCGCTAATAAAGATTTCTCACAAATGAGCCGGTTACAAGGATTTTCAGCAGATATTTGACATTTTAAAAGCAGATAAATATCAGACAAATTTTCAATGGGAGTTTTGCCAGAGTAAAAAAAAAAAAGTGTAGAGAGTAATACAGGAGTTCATCTGAAGTTCTGCCTGAGAAAGGCTTAAGTAAAGATTCCAGGATTAAAATCTATATCTACATTATAAACAAAAAACTACATTAAAAGAACATTAAGGTTGCAGAGTTAAGCACTCAAGTTAGGAAATGACAGAATTAAGGTTGCCTGTGCAACCCCTCATTCCCTCTGTGTGTGTCTGCATTATGATAGAGTCTATTATTACATGATCTAGCATGGAAAATTTCAGTCCAAATGGTTGAAGTTTGACAAAGTTATAAGCAGCTGAAACCAGGATCTTCTAAGGAGATCAGTTGGGCAATCCAGGCAGCGCTAATTGTGTCATCTATAATAATGACGTCTAGAAATGTCACTGAATTACAGTAAGTATTTAAGAATAGACTAGGTAAATTATAGGACATTAATGTAGAAGAGAGCTCAGCGGTTTGAGCATTGGCCTGCTAAACCCAGAGTTGTGAGCTCAATCCTTGAGGGGGCCATTTATGGATCTGGGGCAAAAATCTGTCTGGGGATTGGTCCTGCTTTGAGCAGGGGGTTGGACTAGATGACCTCCTGAGGTCCCTTCCAACCCTGGTATTCTATGACTGTAAAGCACCAGAAGATTACATGATGGTGCTTTACAGAAAGCAGGTGAAGACAAACAAAATACAAAAGACAGTTCCTGTCCCAAACTGCTTACAATTTAACACAGACAGCACAACACATTGCATAATACAAGGCTCCAAATCCAGGCTGGAAGGTGCCCATTTCAAGTCACCCGCTCTGTGCTGCTCTGTGCACGCGTATGTTCCAGTTACCACAAAACAACCGGCACTTACCATGCTCATCCAGTAAGATGTTGTCAGGCTTCATGTCCCTAGAAGTGACAGAGAAGGGGAAAAGGGATGTCAGCATAGAATGGTGACACATAATGTGACTGTACAAGCCTAGGGAAAGGTTTGTGCGAGATATATTATTATAATTTATACAGCACCCACGTTTGCTGGCATTTTACAGACAGGAGTAAGAGGCTTGGTATACCAGAGACCTTGTGGGGTGGGATTATCCTGTATTTCTTCCTCTGTGAGCCGGTGATCCTTAATTTAGACATAATTAGATTAATGATGATAAAGAAGTGAAGGGAGAACTGGAGTTCCTATGATATGATCATGTGGCTGCTTTGGTTTGCAGTGTCTGGTTCTTGATAGTCCAGCTAGATTAGTGGTTCTTTTTACTATTAGCTTTGTTTTGATCGGAAGTAGTATTTGTTAGACCCTGGTCCAGTCCTGCTCTCAGAATGGACACCAGTCTGTTCATAGGCGCCGATTCCTTGGGTGCTCCGGGGCTGGAACACCCACGGGGAAAAATTGGTGGGTGCACTGCACCCACCAGCAGCCAAGCTCCCCGCCTCGGCTCACCTCACCTCCGCCTCCTCCCCTGAGCGCGCCGCATCCCCGCGTCTCCTCCCAGCGCTTGCCGCTGCAAAACAGCTGTTTTGCGGCGTAACAAGCTGTGGGAGGGAGGGGGGAGGAGCGGGAACGCGGTGCGCTCAGGGGTGGAGGTGAGGTGGGAAAGAGGCAGGGCCGGGGCGGGGATTTGGGGAAGGAGTCCAATAGGGGCAGGGAGGGGGCAGGGACTTTGGGGAAGGGGTTGGAATGGGGGGGCAGGGAGGGGGCAGGGAGTCGGGGCAGGGCCGGGGGGGTCGAGCAACCACCGGCTCCAGGAGAAGTTGGTGCCTCTGAGTCTGTTGTAAGGGGATCCAACTGCTGAATCTCACAAGCTGCTAAGCTTCCTGGGTCTGGACAGTGACTGGTCACTATTCCTAGCTCTGGGTCTCTCAGGTGCACTCTCCAGGTGCAGACCCCATATCTGCCACATTCTTGGGCAGTGGGTCCTTACAGTCCAGCCACCTAAACCCTGGAACCACTGCCACAGCCCTCCAGAGCCTCCTACTTGCTTCAACATGTTTATCACAGAGTCCACTGGCTGTGGAAGCTCTTGTTTTCCTAGCTTCACCCTTCAGGAACAGTGTGGTAGGAAAGCCAGGAACACAGTTTTAGCATAGGAATTTCTTAAACACATACATACTTTACTCTTAAAAAGCATGAGACAGTTACAGATCCTTGGAAACCAAGAAACTCCTGAATGAACCCTCCTAGTCTGATTTCATCCCATTTTGCAAATCCCCAGGTTTGTTCCCGCCTGCCTTCACTCCTTCTTCTGGTCCTGGAAGGCCCCTTTTGTTTAGAGAAGCACCCCTTTTTAAAACAGACCCTGTCCCTCAGCTCTCCCAGCCATTCGCTTAGACCTGGGTGGGGGAATTCCAGCCCCCTTCCTTCTCTCCAGACAAGTTTCTGTGAAGAGCGTCCATTTAAAGTCAATGGTCCTGCTCATAGCAAATTCATTGTTTTACTAGTGCAGAGCCATTCAGTGCTAATAATCCCTGATGTCTCTGTTACAGAATCACAGAAATGTAGGGATGGAAGGGACCTCAAAAAGTCATCAAGTCCAGCCCCCTGCATGGAGGCAGGACCAAGAAAACTAGACCATCCCTGACAGATGTTTGTCCACTTGTTCTTAAAAACTTCCAGTGATGGAGATTGCACAACCTCCCTCAGAAGCCTATTCAGAGGTTAACTACCCTTACAGTTAGAAAATTTTCCCTAATACCTAACCTAAATCTCCCTTGCTACAGATTAAGCCCATTACTTCTTGTCCTATTTTCAGTGGACACAGAGAAATACTGATCACCTTCCTCTTTATAACAGCCCTTAACATATCTGAAGACTTACCAGCTCCTGCCTCGGTCTTCTTTTTTCAAGACTAAACATGCCCAGTTTTTTTTAACCTTTCCTCACAGGTCGCATTTTCTCAACCTTCTATCATTTTTGTGGCTCTCCTTTGGACTCTCCCATTTTTCCACGCCTTTCCTAATGTGTGGCACTCAAAACTGGACACAGTATTCCCGCTGTGGCCCCACCAGTGCCGAACAGAGGGGAACAATTACCTCCCATGTCTTACATATGACACTGCCGTTAATACACCCCAGAATGATATTAGCCTTTTTTGCAACTGCATCATATTGTTGATTCATATTCAATTTGTGATCCACTACAACCCTCAGATCTTTTTCAGCAGTACTACCACCTAGCCAGTTATTCCCCATTTTGTAGCTGTGCATTTGATTTTTCCATCCTAACTGTTTTACTCTTGTCTTTATTGAATTTCATCTTATTGATTTCAGACTGATTCTCCAATTTGTCAAGGTCATTTTGAATTCTAATCCTGCCCTCCAAAGTGCTTGCAACTCCTCCCAGCTTGGTGTCATCCACAAATTTTCCACTCCATTACCCATGCTTTCCAAATATAATTTCCCCACTAAATGTCAAGTTTTTGCTACAAAATGGATGGGCTAATTCACAATGATTGTTACAATTACAAATAGTGTTCATGAAACCAAATAGAATTCATATTCCTCTCTTGGTAGTCCATCGATCCGATGATGACAAAATCTGTGCAGATCATCTGTTGATGGTCTTATGGTGTGCCCTCTGATGGCTGTACAAGCCAATTCTAGAGGTGCACATTTTGCTGCAGATGGTGCATGGGAAGGTCGCGGTCAGTGGATTGTGCGCTGCTGATGCTCTGTGACATCGTTCGCGTGCCTCTTGTAGACGCCGGCAGCGGTCTTCCTCAAAGGCGATGCAGGTATTTCTGACTGTTGCACGCCACTGTGTTCTGTCGCTGGCGGCGTCCTCAAGGTCCCTAGGTTTGATACTGCTGTACTGCAGATTGGCTTTGATGGCGTCCTTGTAACGTTTCCGTGGACGACCTATATGCCGGATGCCCTGGGAGAGCTCACCATACAGAAGCTGACGGGGGATTCTGTTGGCATCCATGCGGCTGATATGACCGGTCCAACGTAGCTGTGACTTCATGATCATCATTTCGATGCTTGTCATCTGGGCTCTCTCGAGGACCTCGAGATTGGGCACTTTGTCTTGCCAGCGGATCTTCATGATGTTGCGGAAGCAGCGCATGTAAAATGCTTCGAGCTGCTTGATGTGACGCCTATATAGTGTCCATGTTTCGCACCTGTACAAAAGAGATGAAAGAACAACAGCTCTGTACACAAGGAGTTTTGTGGATGTTGTGGTGGATGTTGTGGTGATTTAAAACTTTGACACGCAGACAGCCAAGTGCCTGGCTTGCTTTGGATATTCGGGCATTGATCTCATTATCCAGTGATCCATCACTGGATATGACACTACCCAGATATTTAAAGTTCTCCACTACTTTCAGCTGAGTGCCATTGATGGAAATACTCGGGACAGAAGCATTTGATCCAGGTGCAGGTTGATGGAGGACTTCTGTCTTTCCGAGGCTGATAGTTAGTCCGAAAAGTTGCGAGGCCTCAGCAAACTTGTTGACAATGTGCTGGAGATCATTTTCAGTGTGAGCCATGAGGGCACAGTCGTCAGCAAAGAGTGCCTAAAGAAGGAGTTTCTGCACTGTCTTAGTCTTTGCATTCAGGCGACAGAGGTCAAAAAGTGAACCATCGTGCCGGTATTTCAAGTATATACCTCGGTCCAGATCTTTCATTGCATGGTTAAGGACACATGCAAAGAACAGGTTAAATAGGACAGGAGCGAGAACACATCCTTGTTTCACGCCGTTGGTGATGTTAAAGGGGGCTGATGTGGCTCCATCAGACAATACCTCGCCTGTCACGCTGTCATGAAAAAGGCGTATAATCTGGACAAATTTTCTTGGGCAGCCAAGTCATGTTAGAATAGTCCAAAGGGCTTTCCTGTTGACGGTATCAAACGCCTTTGTCAGATCTATGAAGACAGCATACAGGTGCACGTTCTGTTCAATGCACTTCTCTTGTATTTGTCTGACAACAAACACCATGTCGACTGTGCTCCGGCCAGGTCGAAAACCACATTGACTTTCAGGTAGATTTGCCTCAGAAATACTGGCTATTAGGCGGTTCAAGATGATGCGGGCGATGATCTTCCCTCCAACAGAGAGGAGGAATATGCCTCTATAGTTTCCACATGCTGCTTTGCTGCCTTTGTTCTTGAAAAGAGAGACAATAGTTGCATCGCGAAGGTCCTGTGGTATGTTTTCATCCTCCCAGATGCTGTGGAACGCTGCTAGTGCTGCTGGACCTGCTGCTTTGTATCTCTCTGCTGGTATCCCATCTTTTCCAGGAGCTTTCCCTGAACTCATCTGGCTAACAGCTTTCTTAATCTCATCTATAGTGGGCGGAAAGTCAAGATCTGTCTTTAGATTTCACAGAATTCATATTAGACACAGACCTATTCCCCAATGTGTCACAGTATTGTACTAATAAGCGTTCAATCACATCATAGAATCAAATCATATTTTGGAACAAAACAAAAAAAGCAGACGCTTCCCCCCCTTCTGCCAGGTGCAATCATAGGAAGGCTCTAAAAGTGCAAAAGCTCTGTTTACTTCAGAATGTTCTGATTGGCATAAAGCAGACCTCCCTTGGGTCAGCAGACTTAAACAGGAGACACATATCAAGCATATACAGCTTTCTGCTTCACATTCAGTTTTCACATGGCGGTTTTCATATCTGAAACCAATGCCCTCTTCCTTAAAAATAACCGCTCTTCATGGCAGAGGCATGTTTTATTTGTTGGATATCTTGGCGAGGTTTCAAAAGGAGTAACTAAGCTGCTGCAAAACTTTCTCAGTGACATCTTAAATGATTTTTTTCACTATGAAAATTTCATTATGAATTTGAAAATTGGTGTAAAAATTGCACTGGTTTGCTTAAAAGTGTCCCCCTTTAAAATGGCCCATTCCAAACAAAAATTAGATCATTCAAATCAAAAGGTGAATTCA